AATAAACTTCCTTCGGAACTAGGGAGGCGGTCTTTCTCTGGTCCTTGCCTAGCTCCAGCTCTGGGTCCCCACCCTCTCTTGCAATGACCATTAGGATCACTCCAGAAACCCCTTAAAACAAACAAACAAACATACAAACAAACAAAAAACCTAGAATAGACAGACAACAACAATGACAGCTTAGGATCAGACAGTAAGTGGCCAGCGTGGATTCACTCATAAATCACTAGGTGGGACACAGAGATTAGTTACTCCTCACTGGGGTGTTGGGGATTTCTCTGCACATCCCTCCTAAAAATGTTCTGTACCTAAACTGATGACACATGTCTTGCTAGAGTTATAAGCCAGTTAGACCACCTGAAAAACAACCAAGTTCAGCAAAATCAAGCTTCAACACTATAAACAGCTAAATACTAAAATGAAAATAGACACGAGACACCTGAATAGAAATCTATAGCCATTTTGAGGTGTATGGAATCCGGTTGAATATAAACCAAAATTGAAATGTCTATGAAGTCACAAGATGTGGTTAAGAACCTGCATTTTCCTATTAACATACTGGTTAATCAATACCATGTCAATTAATGCCATAAGGTTGTAAATGGTTGTTGATGTTATGTCGGAGCATCTAATTGATTGGGATGATACTTTACTGGCTTTACCTTCAGATCAGAGATGATCTTACCAAGAAATCGTTGAACTCACCAGAGTAATAAGATGCTGGACTTTATGCTTGGTAAATACTTCCAATGAAATAATCTCAACTGAATTTGAACTGTGATAATGCAACAAGGTGGAGAAATCCACCATGGGGGGAGGGTTCGGGTAGGGTTGGGGGTATCCCAGTGTCTATAACATTGTGTCACATAATGCAGTGCAATTAATAACAATAAAATAAGAGAAAATATTTAATTATTTTTATTGCAAAGCCATATACAGAGAGGAGGAGAAACAGAGAGGAAAATCTTCCGTCTGATGATTCATTCCCCAAGTGACTACAATGGCCGTGCTGTGTCAATCCAAAGCCAGGAGCCAGGAGATCTTCCAGGTCTCCCATACAGGTGAGGGGTCCAAAGGTTTTGTTCTGTCCTTGATTGCTCTCCCAGGTGTCCTGGAACTCCTGAAAGTGAGTGTTTAAGAGAAAACAATGGTAATCTCATTGTAGCTGCAATCATGCGCCCAGCTTGTACTTTCCTTGAAACTGACCAAGTAAACTGTAGTGAAAATAGGATATGAACATTATAAGAAGATGTATTTAAAGATTTAAAGGGATACGGAGAGGTACTGTTTTCATTGTAAATAAGTGCCTGAGTGAGGCGATGACTTACAATGTTAATCACGGACCTTCAGCTGTGAAACAGTCCACATTATGCCATTCTGAGGCTCAGACAATCAAGTGGCACATCTGGGTTCTCATTCCGTATATGCTGAAGTAACTCACCCATAAAGGTGTCTGTGGAGCAGGTATTTGGAATAACAGCTAAGGTGCCAATTGGGACGGCCGCATTCTCTATCATCGAGGCGTGATTTGGAATTTAGTTCGATTCCCAAGGCCACAGGTGATGGCTCGGTGCTTGGGTCCTTGCCATTCATGTCGGCTGCACACACGGCCTTCCCGGCTTCCCCCGGACCCCTCCCCATGAATGAGCAGATAGAAATAAATTTCTTACTCGCCCCTTCAAATAAATGAAACAAATACTTTTTTTTATAAACTGGCTTTGTCTAGTTTTATAGTTTTACACTTCATAATGTATGTGAGATCCTTTAAAACAGGGAAAGAGTGATAAAATATAAAATATGAGGTGTAATATATTTCTAACATTGAACTTAATTAGTCTAAAACATCTAACTCTTTTAAAAACAGTTGGCTGGCGCTGTGGCTGGATTTAGATCTGCTTGCTGCGCGAATCACAGCATGTGTGTCTGCTGGAAGAGGTAAGTGAACTCGCCCCCTCCCCTGCTTGAAGCACCTGGTGCCTTCCTGGTTGTGAAATGAAAAGGCTCTGGGCATTCCTTGCCCGCCTGTTAGAGTCTTAGAAACACATATATAATTCTGGCTTAGGTTAAGAATTTCACAAGCAGTGCTGAAATCAGTTTATTGTAACTGAGCATAACTACCCTATTTAAATGGTGAAACATATTTGAGAATTATTATTCACAGTGGCAATATGTTAATACTGACTTCATTAGCTCATGGATTGCTACATACAATGAGTTACAAAAAAAAAAATTGATTTTGGACCCAGCATGATAGCATCATGGTTAAGGTCCTCGCCTTGAATGCTCCAGGATCCCATATGGGCACCAGTTCTAATGCCTGCAGCTCCACTTCCCATCCAGTTCCTTGCTTGTGCCCTGGGAAAACAGCCAAGGATGGCCCAAAGCCTTGGGACCCTGCACTCAAGTAGGAGAACTGGAAAGAAGTTTCTGGCACCTGGCTTCGGATTGGCTCAGCTCCAGCTGTTGTGGCCACTTAGGGAGGGAATCATCAGCGGGATGGTCTTCTCTGTCTTTGCTCCTCTCTGTACATCAGCCTTTCCAAGAAAAATGAAATAAATCTTTAGAACAAACAAAAATTGACTTTGCTCCTGCTGACATTGTTTCCACCTTGCAGTAATGTGAACTACAGAAAAACATGCATAGCTGCCTTCACATGGAAAATTGACTTTTCTTTAAAGATTTATTTTATTTTATTAGAAAGTCAGATATACAGAGAGGAGGAGAGACACAGAGGAAGATCTTCTGTCTGATGGTTCACTCCCCAAGTGGCTGCAACGGCCAGAGCTAAGCCAATCCAAAGCCAAGAGGCAGGAGCTTCTTGCGGGTCTCCCGTGAGGGTGCAGGGTCCCAAGGTTTTGGGCTGTCCTCGACTGCTTTCCCAGGCCACAGGCATACAGCTGGGCGGGAAGCAGGGCTGCCAGGATTAGAACCAGTGCTTGTATGGGGTCCTGGTGCTTGCAAGGTGAGGCCTTCAACCGTTAGGTTATTGCACAAGGCCATGGAAAAATCAGAATTTTCAGTAGCCTGGAAATTAATTTTTAAAATCTGATGCATTTTGCAATATGCATATCAGATCTCAGCACTAATTAGGTTAGAAAGGTTAATTAGGCATACATGCAAATATGTTCGTTTTCATAAATTCCTTTGCCCAAGGAAGACTATAAATAAATAAATAAATAAATAAACAAATAAAATCTTTTGAAAATTCAACAAAACAAAGGCAAACATTCTACATGCAAAACAAAAGCATTCACAGTTACTACAAAGAAGACTGTGGCAAAATTTTGTTCTAGCCTTTATAATCACAATTGTAGCTAAGACATTCGCTTTGACCCCTGCGCTTTATTAAAAGCCTTACGTTTTGAAACACCTCTCCATGCAATGGTGTCAGTTTTGATGGAATGCCAGCCAACAGTGACCAGCCTCAGTGACATGAGCGAAAGGCCGATTTAAACAAAATAGTCACATATTGAGGTAACAGAATCTTAAAGAAAGGTGGTTTTAATAAAAAATCCTTTTTATATTGGACACATTTGTTTAGATTTATATTCTGTAGACTCTGATGACAACTCAATAATGATTGCTCCAGACCTCTGTATTAATAAGATTTAATATACTCAAGTTTCCAGAAATGTGTTTTTTGAAATATTATGAGTCAGGAAATATCCCTCTGAAGCTGAATCTCATCAACAGATTTTATGAGTTTGAATTCAAAGAATATATATATATATATCTATATGTTTAAGAAAAGAAATGAAGGCAAAGCAGGCGGATTAGTTAACTAGTTTTTATGCATGACAGACGCATATGATAGAATGTAATACATCTTCTAGGAATCTTCTAAAGTTCATTTTTTTTGACTTAAACTTAGAACAGGATCCATGCTGTTTGCAGATGTATTGCATTGTAATTATCCAAGGTCTTGGGCCAAAATATCAGTGCCTTTAAAACATACTGTGGATCTTTGATCCCTCAAAGGAGCTAAAGAAAGTTATGGCTTAAATGGAAATTGCTCGGTATGCATGCTGTAACTTGATTTAACAATGGATGTATATTTGTCATGTATCGTTTTGATATTGTTTGGTATGTTATAAGTATGGCTTGATGTTAATTATCTAATTAAGAAAGATTTTATTTTTAGAACTAATTGATTTTTCTGGTTGCTATTCTTGTAACAAATATTTTAATCTTAGCACAGTTTTCCATAATTTTGAGAATTTGTTATCTGCTCTTTGGTGGTTTGATTTTCAAAACCACTCAGTTGGAAGTACAGTGTTTTACATGGTAATTCAAAATTAGAGAATATATAGGAAATGCCCAAAATAGTTACATATATATTTGAATTTTTTCTGAGAGCATTTGGGTACTTCTGGAGATGTGTTTGGATGAATGTCTCAGTAGCATTAACATCTTTCCAATTCTGTGGCATTCTTCAGGGTAAATTTGAAAGAAGAATGGGAAATTAGTACTCAAATTCCCATATTTATCTAATGCTTTCAAAGTATTCTCATCTGAGGCCAGAGAGGTGGTTAATCCACTGCCTGTCACTGCCGCTCCCCCAAAGGGTGCGCTGGGTGCAGTTGATGCCCCTGCTACTTTTCTGATTCAGCTGTTTTTGTGTTGTTTTGCTGTGTTTTGTTTTGTTTTTTACCGAGTGGAGACACAGAGGAGGATGGCTCAAGTCTATCAGCTGCTGCACCCACATGGCAGATCCGGAAGAATCTCCTGGCTCATGACTTCTGCTGGAAGGAAAATCGCTCACTCTCTCCATCTTTCCTTCTCTCTGATTTTAAAAATCATCATCTGTCTTACAGTTTGTGCAAGTAAAGTCACCTTTGCAAATGCTGTTAATTCTTTAGTTTGTCTTTCAGATTGATCACTGACATGTACATCCACAAACATCTTCATTTTTAATATAATAATAGGATGGGCTTAGTGTTCAGTAATGCTAGAAAAATAGGTAGGCACAATTGTTATTCTAAATGTTTACTAATTCCAATGTTTACTTTGGCTGCACATATTTTAAATTTGGAATGATATAGAGAGGGTCATCATGGTCCCTGAGAAAGGATGATATGTAATTGTGTATCCAACCATGGTTGATTTAATATAAGCATCTCTATAATCAGTGCTTTAATATTACGCTGTTTTATGTAAGTTACAAAACTCCATGCCTAAATTTATTTTAAAATGAATTATTTATTTTTATTGGATAGGCCAATTTACAGAGAGAAGGAGAGACAGAATAATCTTCCATCTATTGCTAGACTTGCGAAATGGCTTCAGCAGCCAGAGTCAGGAATTTCCTCACAGTCTCTAATGCAGGTACAGTTCCCAATGTTTTGGGCCAATCTTCTCTGCTTTCCCAGATCACAAGCAGGGAGTTGAATGGGAACTGGGGCAGCCAGCACAGAATCAATGCCCACATGGGATGCAGCCCTCAGAGGTCTCCCCAAGCCCCAATTTTTTAAGATTTATTTTTCATGGAAAAGAAAATTTATTGAAAGAAGGTTAGAAAAATCATGTCCAAACTTCATAATTGACATGACTAAGAACAAAATATCTATCTTAGCATTTTAGTAGACACATAAAACACAGCCAACAAAGGTAATTAAAAACTCACACAACATAGTTTAGCAAAAATGTTAACAATTTAAAAATACTCTATTGATTTCAAAATGCACTGAACTTGTAGGATGCATGCTTCTGTGAATATATTTTTGTTTTCCCGAAAGAACTGAACAATTCTCACTGTGATGCACTGATGACCATGACTGATATATTAATGTTTTCTATCTTTTAAATCCCTTTAATTTATATAAGAGCATAGGAGATTTTTGTGAAACTCTGAATGTCATTATAATAGTGATGTGTATTTCAAAAAACATTATGTTTTGTCAAGGGAAAATGCTGCATAGCAGCTTTGATAGTGGCAATATAACTTCCAAACCAGAGTCCTCTAAGGAAATGTGTCTGGAAAAGTTTTATTCTAATTGATGTGTGATGTTATGAGCAGAATTTTCCAGCTGAAAAATGTCTTTTATGACTGGTAGTCAGCCAAGCAGTCTGGCTGTCCTTGACCACCCAGTCTTACAGCAAGGATCTAGAAATTATTCATTATTGATCTCTTCTCCTGGAAGTGGAAGCCAGCACTCCTCAACCCTTTCAGCTTATTCGTCAGGTTGTGTATGTCACCTTTACATAGAGATCTTCTAAAGCTTCAAAAAACATGCTATAAGGAACCAGATGCATTTTTCTAGAAATTTCAAAACTCCTATTTGTATATGGGAATTTCAAGTATAAGGTTTGAACAACAAAAAGATCAGTGAGAAACAAGTAAACAAAGGCAGAAATATTTGAAAACAAAATAAAAATGTAAGTAATGAAATGAAAGAAGTAAAGAAAAGCCATGTGATTTTTTTAATGGAAAATCCAACACTGGAAAAAAATTCTTAAAGAGTTTTGAATGGTAATAAAAAGTAGCAATAAATAAATCAGTCACCCAGGATTTTGACAAAGACAATTTACCCAAATTCAAAACAGAATAAAAAGACTAACGCAGTGAGACGACACCAGGGTATCTCTGAGAACAGAGTGCCTTTCCTAACATCCACATCACACAAGTTCTTACAGAAGGGAATGAGGCAGACACTGGATAACACAGAAATAATGGATTGACAACTTCTTTTTTTTTTTTTCCAAAATATAACCCTAACTACTTAAACAGCTGAGTGATACAGAATTTAATCATTCTTGTGTTCTCACCAAGACACGTAATAGGCATTTTTTTAATTTAAAAATTAAAATGATAAAAAAATTCACAAAAATAGCTAAAGAGGGGGAAATGACTTAATGTGTATAGGAAAATAATCCAAAAAACATGATTTATCTTCATAAACCACAATGGCCAAAAGACTGTACACAATGGTTCTTAGGTATTAGAAGAAGTCATTTAAAATTCAGAATCCTGTTGCTGGAAAACATAACTTAGGAAAGAATGAGAAATCAAAATATACCTCATATTCAAGAAAGCTGAAGGAATGTTGCCTATATATTTGCATTAAAAGAATGGCTAGGGCCCGGTGCGGTGGCGCAGTGGTTAAGGTCCTCGCCTTGCATGCCCGGGATCCCATATGGGCGCTGGTTCTATCCCAGCAGCCCCGCTTCCCTTCCAGCTCCCTGCCTGTGGCCCGGGAAAGCAGTCGACGACTGCCCAAAACTTTGGGCCCCTGCACCCACATGGGAGACCCGGAAGAGGCTCCTGGCTTCGGATCGGCCTAGTATCGGCCCGTTGTGCTCACTTGGGGAGTGAATCATCGGACGGAAGATCTTCCTCTCTGTCTCTCCTCTCTGTATATCCGCCTTTCCAATAAAAAAAAAAAAAGAATGGCTAAAGAATATTAAAACAAAAGTAGAGACCTTGGATAATTATGAAAGAAAAAACTTGATAATTTAAAAATGAATAAATAATAATATATAATTCTGATTTATTCTTGAATTTCATATATCATCATTTAATTTTAAATTTTTGTGTAATTATAGTTGTAAAGATGCTTGAAAATAAGCATTAAGATGTCAGATCCACTTTACTTCGGCTCCTTACATCTTTAATTCAGAAAAACATTGTGGAATCTGTAGCCTGGCATAGTAGCCTAGTGGCTGAAATCCTCGCCTTGTGTACGCCAGGATCCCATGTGCGCCATGTATCCTGGCTGCTCAACTTCCCATCCAGCTCCCGGCGTGTGGCGCGGAAAAGCAGTGGAAGATGTCCCAAAGCCTTGGGACTCTGCACCCACATTGGAGACCCAGAAGAAGCTCCTGGTTCCTGGCATCAGGTCTGGTTCAGAACAGTTCCGTCTATAGCATCCGCTTACAGAGTAAAATAAGCAGGCAGATGATCTTTCTCTCTGTCTCTTCTTATCTTAGTAAATCTGATTCTCCAATAGAAATAAATGAGTCATAAATAAAAAGGAATTCTGGAGTCAGGAGTTAGGGTCAAATGTCCCAGCCAGATACTGTCATGTGAAGTGGAGCCATCCAAAGGAATGCCCTGACATTTTGTTTTGCCTTTTTTTTATCCAGCAAATTTCTATCTCTGCAGAGTTACCTATGGGTACTGCAAAATGATAACATTCATCTTATCTAAATAAAAATCTCTAAACATAAAAATAGAAATTTCTCTACAAACAGGGAGAGACTCATTTTTTTTTTCTGTGCATAGATTTTCATTCTGCAGACAGGTAAAAGGACTATAATTTACTTAGTACCTGTAATTAACAGGTTCTTTAAGAAGTCTGAGCTAAAATATCATAATTAAAACATGAATTCTAAGCCTTAAAAGAACTTTATAAAAAATATCTGCTGTGTCTTGCATCATGTAAGTCATGAAATGTGGATCCATGGTGTCTGGGATGGCCGACTGTGTCTCTGTGATGGGATTAAGAATGCCCAGTGAGCCGGCGCTGTATCGTCGCTGAATTATTTGTCGGTGGAGTCATTATTCCCAATGCTCCCGTAGGGATTAGGTGCAGCCCTGATTTGCCAAAAGGCCAACAAAGGGGCTTGGGATTTGATTTGTATAGCAGGAGCACAGGTAAAACAAAAACAAAAATAATATGTAACAATGGAGAGAGTACTGATTAATAAGAACAAGAATTATAAATTCAGGTACATGCAGACTGAATCACAATCCTAAGCATTGTAGCCACTTATTCACTATCTCATGCACTGTCCTTTCAGTATCTACCATGTACAAGACATGAAGCTACGGCCCGTAAATGGGTATTGAATACACTGGTACTATGCCAATGAAGGGCATGGACCAGCGATTGCTGCAAACTTAGTCTCTGATATGTATGCATGGTGTCCAGGCCCTGCTCACTCACGGGAGACAGTCTGCAGCAACCACGGGGTTGCCTGTTTCCATCCCCAGCATGGACAGCAGGGCCAAAGCTTCTCCTTTCTTACAATGACCCAAAACGACATTTCAGCACAAACAGAAAACACATAGAAATACTAGGCTCAAGTATGCAACCTAGCTCTCTCACTCCAGCCATTCTGGGAATTCCTTCTTCACGAGAAAAGGTCACATATTCTGGATTTTTTTTAAAAAGCATTTCTTTGTATTACAACATGCCACATGTAAAACCTTACATAAACACATGCATAAACACAAATTTTGTTTTGAAAAAGCATTCTATGTGGTGAAGAGGGGAAGGTGAGGATGTGCACGAAGTGGAATAAGTGGTGAAATACTTCAGGCCGGGAAGCTGACTGAGAGTGAAGTGTCGCTGGTCAGTGCTGCTCAGTGCTGCTCAGTGCTGGTCAGTGCTGGTCATGTTCGTGCTTCATTAAACGGGTTTGTTGGCAACCAAGACAGTCCTCATCCAGAACACCTGGTACTGATAAAATAGCCAAGCTATAATTTTGTGAATAGATATGCATTATAAATAAGGAGATAAGGGCTTTAGGCCATATTTTCCTTCCCTAGCTGCACAACTGGAGTAACTTGTGGGAAATTGGAATTATTTCCTTACCAATGAAAGCAAGGAGGAAACTCGAGCAATCCAGAGACAACACATACAGCCTGCAGACGACATAGGAGTGTGTATGCCTGAGAACTGAAAACCTACAATGCAAACAGCTGACAGTTGATACCATATAAAATGCCCGACTTTTACCAACGTCCTAAAAAGATAATCAACTCCAGGGGCTTCAGAGAAAAGAGAAGTGAGCAGGCCTGGGTATGAGGAGGAAGCCTTCGGCAGGAAGCCTTCGCTGAGCTGCTGCAGGAGCAGCAGGTGCTAGCGCAGGGCTGCTGGACGGGTGCCCACCCCTGCCGAGAAGTGGCGGTGGCAGCAGGAGTCAGGGGGAGGACCGCAGAGAGAAGAGGATGCCAGACAATCTCCTCCTGCTTTTGCCTTTCGTGCTTTCCAATTAATTACCAAAATCCTCCTTCTGTCACATTGGAGGGAGGTGTCTGTGAGCAGATGGAGAGGCCCGCACGTTGCTGCTGGCTAGCTTCTTAGGCGGAATGCTTTTCCTCTTTTAATTGACAGTTACTAGTGGTAGCCTAGTTTCTGAAGCAGAAAAGTGAGGGGTGG